GCCGGGGACTGACAGGAGCCCGGCACCTGCCGTCAACGGCACGGAGACGGCATGTCCACACCCTCGGTCCGCCGCAGCACACCGGACCCCCACGCACGCGGCCCTGCTGTGTAAGCCTGAACCCATGTTGTCTGGAGCCAGCACAGCCACTCGGCTTCCTGTGGGGGACTGGGGAAGTGGGGCCTCTGCACACCCCTGCCCTGCAAAGCACACCCGGCAGCCTGGAGCTGGATGGGCCCTGTGCTCTTGGCCCGGCCTCCCAGAGCCAGGAGGGAGGAGGGACTCTGGTTCCCACACCACGGACCCGGCGTTGGGGTCTGTTTGAGCTGCTGCTGCTTCACTGCCTGCCTGCCTTCTGGCAGGGGTACCCCAGGCGTCACTGGGTGATTTTCACTCTGGGTCTTTGGTCCTCGTGGGGGAGCACTTCAAGCTCACGGGAGAGCCTGAACATGAGCCTGAAGTGCCAGCCACCCTGTGCTGGCTGCCTGGGCCCAGGACCACAGCCCTGCCCCTGCAGCAGTCCTGGGGGCCAGGAAGGGGAGGGACACTTGGGGCCACAGACGAAGACGGGCCACTGGCTTTATCCTCTGACGGTATTTCCCACCTGGGCAGAGGCATCCCTGGGGCTCTGTGGGCAGGGGCACTGCAGGGACGAGGGGGCCTTGGGGAGGTGGGGACCGTGGTGTCTGTGTCTGCCAGGACCGAACCAGGTGATCTCGAAGTCCGATGGGCTGTGCGGTGTCACACTGGGTACCTCACCCCCAGAGCTGTCTCGGAGCCACCCTCGGAGGCGACAGGTGTCGGGGACTCCTCTCTGGAGGCAGGGCTTTGGAAGACGCCGGCTGAGCTCGGCACAGACGCACTGTGCATGGGGAGGAAAGTGTGCAGCCCGCCGAGGTCAGCCCTTTCAGGAAGCCCTCTCTCCTTGCTCAGCCTCCCTGATGTCGCCCAGAGACGTCTGGAACTCGATGGCAGACCAGAGCGCCCGGGAAACCACCCGCGGCCCCAGCAGTGCCTCTGCCCACAGAGCCCCAGGGATGCCCAGGTGGGAAATGCCGTCACAGGGTAAAGCTAGGGGCCCGCCTTCATCTTGGTCTCACAGCCGAACGGGCCCCCGGGGCCATCTGGTGACGAGGGCTCGCCGAGGGCTCGTGGAGAGAGAAAGGGCCTCTGAGGGTCTGTTCTTGACCTGTTAGCCTGCGGCCAGCTCTGGCTCCACCACCGCTCCCAGCAGCCCGGGACTGTGCGGGGGACAGGACAGCGCTGGTGCCGGCCCGTGAGGACAGGCGTCCGGCTTACCTGCTGGGGTCTTTGGTGCTGGGAATTACACAGATGCACTCGCGCTTGCAGAAGGTTCTCTCTATCCAAGCTTTCTGACCCTGGAGAGAGAGGCTGGGGTTAGGCCACGACAGGGTCCATTCCTACCTTTAGAGCATGACACCGCAGCCAGGCCCTCCCACTACACTGCACAGTCGCCACCGAGACCCGGCTGGTGCCTGTCAGGGGGCTGGGCTGGGCTGGGCTGAGCGTGTGTGTGTGCAGGATGGATGGGCGGACGGGCGTCACTCTACCTGGGAGGGCGGGTGGAGCCAGCACATGAAGACCAGCAGTGCAGGACGTGTCCGGAGCAGGGGCAGGGGCAGGGGAGACCCCCCAGGCTTGCCGCCCTAGTGAGCCCGTGGCCCTGTCCCACGTGCCCACCCAGCCCAGCCACAGGAGCACCTCGTGCCAGGAGGAGCCCAGGGCCAAAGGGCAGTGGTCGTGGCAGAGGGGCCCTGCGTGGGCATGGAGAACAGCAGGAGTCGGGGTCCCCAGTGAAGCCCGGGCAGGGTGAGAGCCAGCACCCTCCCGCTGCATCTGAGCGGCCCAGCTCAGTGTGTGCGTGTGTGACTGCGTGGGGCCTGCAGGGGGTTCACAACGCGCAAATGATGGAAAACTAGGCGTGGGTTTCGGCATTTTCCACAAAATAAACTCGCACTCCATTCCATTCTCCTCAAACCCTTGGGAGCCCCCTCGCACGTGTGGCCCACAGGGCAGCATGTGGAGTGTGCGTGTGAGGGGCGTGTGTGCACCTCAGAGCCCGGTGAGGCTGGCCGTGTCCTGCCGGGAGACACGCCCATCGTGGGGAGTGTGACAGGCACTGGGACTGGGTCCTGCCTGCAGGGCGCTCGAGCAGCAGCAAGGCCTGTCCCTGCGGCTGGGCCAGGGGACAGTGGGGACCTCCTGAGGTCCTGCCTCCCCCACTCGCCCTCCAGGCTGTGGTCCTCTCGCCGGACACGAAAGTGGCCGAGTGGTGATTCGAGCCTGGCAGGGACGGTGCCCACACGGGGGCTGTTGAAGTGACCGCCCACCCCCACCCCAGGGACACCCCTTCTCCTGGGAAAAGGAAGGCAGCGTGCGTGGCAGGCTCGGGAAGTGGCCACGGGCTGGGCACGCCATCCTCTCCTCTCCGCTTCTCACGTGGCCCAGAGGGAGGGCCTGGGCTCCGCTGTCACAGTCCCCAGGAAGGCCACAGGGCGCCTGCCCTCCCTGGGACAGCCCCAGCAGTAGAGCCGGAACCAGCAGGGTCTTTCAGCCCAAGGTGACACTTTCCTTCCACTCTCTCTTTTAAAAGTTGAGTTATAGCCCACGGCCCTAAAATTAACTTCCTTTAATGACAGGTCTCAGCCCATCACCCGCCCGCTGCTTGGCCTGCGGCTGGGACCACGAGGGCACGCCCAGTTCTGGTCGGAAGGTGCTGTCCAGGCTGGCCTCGCACTGGCCTGCCCCCGCTTGGCCATCCCAGATCAGGGGGCTGACAGGCACACGCTGCCACACCCAGCCGTAAGATGGAGCAGGACTCGAACCGGGCCAGCCAGGATCACAGCCACGGTGTGCCTGTGGATCCGTCTGCACCCTGTCTGGTCCCGCTGTGCTGTGGACACGTGGCCCACACTGCAATGTGCAGTCATGGGCTATTCCCGCTGGTCTGGGCCTGTAAGCATGCTGGCAGCCGGGACGTGGGGGCCAGGGAGCAGCTGCACACTCGACCTCATGTGGTGGAGCACCTCTCTGTGGCCCACACACAACCAGAGCTGACCGCTGCCTTCGCCTGGACACCAAGCTTCCCAGCTTGGCGTGCTTGGCGGACCGCTGCCCCAGCGCCCTGTCTCCGGAGAGGCCATGCCACGCAGAGAGGTCCCTGGCACGAGCACTCCCTCTCTGGTGGTGCCCAGAAGCAGCTGGGAGTCCAGGGCTGCAGGCCAAACTCAGCCGGCCTCCTAGACTGTGCCGAGCATGGTCAGTGTGGGTCACACTTGGGTGGCCACTGCAAGGCAGTCTCTGGGAAGCAGCAAGAGTGGTCTAGCAGGCACCCTCCGCAGGGGCCGGGGAGAACTGCTCCTGTGCGGTGAACTCAGGACCTGACCGGTCTGTTTCCCGGCCCTGGCTGCTCCCTACAGACGGGCGTACAGATGGACGCTCATTCCTTCACCCACTGCCGAGCCTAATGTTAGTGCTAAAAGGAGAGGGATGTGGCGGGGACCATTCACGGATCGCAGAGGCAACTGTCTCTGGCCCCGTCCTGTCAATGGATGCTTTAAACATGCCATCGCCTTAACCTCGAGGTCGAAAGTGTGGTGACGGACTCACTGTCCCCAGCTGAAGGCTCCCTTTTGCCAGTCCAGAATCCCCGCGGGTGCACGCTCGCCGCATGGGAAACGCGTTCGCCCCAAGCGGAGCATCCTGAGAACGCCCAGCAGCTCAGGTACAAGGGTCTAGCTGGCAGGACGCCTGTGCTCTCGGCGAGGTGACAGTCTGCTATGCCGGCAATCCCGTTGCTGCTGCCGACCCGCGAGGGAGGAGACTGCAGCCGGCCAGGGTGCGTCAGGCTCCAGACCTACTCAGACAGCATCGGTAAAGCCGACGGTCATGGCAGCCAGGCTCAGCGCAGTGACGTCTCCAGGGACGTTTCTGGGCTAAAACAACCGGCACCACGAATCCAGCTTCCGGCCAGCTCCAAGGTGTGGCTAAGAGAAGCTAGGACGCGCAGGGTGGCCAGTTCAGGGCCTCGGGCTGCTCAGCCTAAACTGGCCCGGGACGCCCCGACGGCCCGAGTCTCGAACTGGCCCAGGACGCCCCCACAGCCCAAGGCCTGCTGGGCTGGAGCTGGAGGAGGGGATGCTCGTGACCAGACTCAGGGGAGGGTGCCCCACCCGCAGTACGCTCTGTGAATAAGGAAAGTGTTTTCTTTAAACATGTGACTGCGGAGGCCATGAGTTAAGACTGCTGCCAGACAGTTTGCAAAACGGTATTTGGCGAAGGTTATCAGAGCAGTCCTCCCCAAACAACCGTGTTCTTCAAGCGCTCGAGGAGAGGCTGGACGTCCTTCCCAGGAAATCCCAAAATAGTCACCACAGACAAACTGGCCATCCTCCTCCCTCATTGCTGGACTCGCATGTAGTTGACCGCAGTTCGAGTTCTGGACCTGGTGGTTTAAACTCACGCCAGGCACATGTGTGTGTGTGTGTGTGTGTGTGTGTGCGTGCGTGCCCAAGATCCTGAGAGGAGAGTAGAGGGAACCAAATTGTGGCGTGGCCATCCTCCCAAGGGGTGATTTCTCACTTTCTGTCTCTCCAGCAAGTGCATGCACTCTAAAGCAAAAATCTCTTTAAAACAAAGTGCGCGCCGCCCCCTGGGCTAGACGGTGATGCACTGCCAGTCCTGTTTTCCTCCCTGTCCCGTTTTCCGCTCGCACCCCCACCCCGCAGTGCTGCGTGCACTGGATCCCTCATGGGGCTTCCTAGGCGCGTCCCTGAAGCATTGCAACATTGCTGCCTGGCCTTCCAGGGGCCACCCCAGCCCTGCTGTCAGCGAGGCGACACTGACCGACCCTGGCAGATCTGCGGGACGACTGGTCTCTTCCCCAAGGCTCTGAGTGAAAGCCGCTGCTGAAGGACGGCAGGTACGATCCCTTCCCCGGGGGAGAGGCAGGCTTCCCAGCCGGGTGGAAGGGGACACTGAGAACTGACAATAAGGATCCGCCCCCCTCCGGCCTTGCAGCAGGGCTCTGAGCAAATCCCTGCTCCCAGGGAGCTCTGAGCATGCGAGCCCTCCGTGACCGGCTGACCGAGCATGGGTGCCCTCCGCGACCCAGCCTGGGGGCCATCCGCAGAGAAGGGAGAGCCCAGGCAGAGCACGGGTGAGCACGAGTCCTCCAGTCACGTCCTCAGGGCCCTGCCAGCCCTGCGCAGCAGCTGGGAAGGTAGTCCTGCACCTGCCTCACCTGTGCTGAGCTCAGATGGCTGAGGGTCCCGCACTCGGCACCTGCCCACACCTGCCCACTGACTGAGCAGCGAGTGGGAGGGGCTCCCGGCCTCCTGCAGCCTCCTCCTCGGCCAGACAGGAGACTGGGGAGGAGGGCCGCCTTTTAGAGGCTCAGCCCTCATGAGAAGCATGTGACTGCCTGGGCCGGGCCCTCAGGAGCCCCGTGAGCGAGAGCGAGGCCCCATGACCCAGCTCCTGAGCCAAGAAAGGAAACAAGGGCCCCACATTCCTAAGCTACTTGATGTGGGGTCCCACAAATGCAGCCCAGGGACCTGAGAGAGGCGGGGCCTTCCCTTTGAAGTGGCCCGTGTGCTCCCCCGCTGGCCAGGCCCTCTGCTGGAAATGTCAGTGCGGTTTCACGGCCGGGCGGCTGAGCAGAGCCTAGTGGGGTGCAGCGTGGGCCCTGGGAGCGAGAAGGCCGCGCACAGCACCAGTCCAGACTGATCCTTCCCGCGTTGTGGGGCGGCGGTCGGGGAGAGCCGGCTGCAAGCGCTGCGTGAGTCCCGCGTGACTCCCCATCCGGCGACTCTGAGCCCCCTCTCCTACCACCACAGCAGACCTGTCGCTGTCCACGGGCACCCAGACCCCAGACTCCCAGTGCTGAAGTGTGCGTGGTTATTCCAGGTCCCTGAGCCTCCTCCCAGCAGGAAATGCACCCAGATCTGACTGCCCGCCACGTCCCCTCCTAGTATGGCTGCCCAAGTTGGGAGGTCCCCAGACACTGGAAGTGAGGGTGGGAGTCCTTCCTTTTCACAGATGGGGACCCTGAGGCTCACGAGTGCAGACCCTGCCCGAGAGCTCGGGAGCCGCAGCAGGACGGGCTGAGGCAGCTTGCTCACTTGTGTGCCCAGGGGGATGCCCGAGCCCAGGCTTCTCGGCCCCTGCCCAGACTCCACGTGGCAGGAGGCCCCTTGTGCTCCGGGTGAGGCGAGACCGTGCACACGGCCAGGCTGCCTCCTGGGGAGGGGTCTGTGCTTCCCTGCTGCCCTCTCAGGCAAAGACTGACACCCTGTTCCCAGCACTGAGGGTGCATGGGCGGGGCCCAGCGTGGCTTGCCGTGCTCTGCTGGTGCGCACGGCCGGAACACGCAGCTCTTGTCATGGCAGATGGTGGGCGCTATGTTGATGGCACCGTGCAGGGGGCAAGGACTGGCCAGCATACTCAGGAGGGGCAGGGCAGCCAAGGGGGCAGGCGAGGGCCGGGCCTGGTGTCCTCACACCTCCGTCCTGCTCGGCCTGCCCCTCACTCCCACCCACCACTGTTGTCACTCCCTGCAAGCTGGCCAGGCCTGGCGGGCACAGAGCCGTGAGGCTCTCCCAGAGGCCACATGCTGCTGTCGGCCTGGCTTAGCCTGCCGCTTTCCCAGGATCAAGGTCTTACCCACAGCCATTAATCACATGAAAGCAGATAGCGAGGAGCATTAGCCCGGCCAGCTGCCGTGGCCCCGGCCACCGGGATTACCTTCCTGGCCCCACCTACCCTGCCAGCCCACCCCCCACTGCCCAGGTGGCGTGCCCCGAAGTCCCCTGCGTGGTGCCCTGTGCTCTGGGCTGCAGCCTACAGACCTCCACGTTTCCAAGGAGTTCTGGGCTCATGTGCTCGGGCAGGCTGTGGAGGTCCCTCTGGTGCACAGGGACAGCTTAGTGCCGTCCCTGGGTCCTGGCTCTGCTGGCCCCATGGGTCCCGGAGGGGAAGGTGTGGTCACCCAGAGCTGGAGTGCAGCCCAGGCAGCCTCGCCTAGCCCACTGGTTCAGCCTCCAGGCTGACCTGTCCAAATGGCCAAGCGGTCACACTGCTCCCTACAGCCCAGAGCCCAGCAGCCCAGAGCAGCACCTGCTTCCAGAATGAGGCCCCCTGCCCTGCAGCAGTGCCAGCAAGGACAGCTCTCAGCAAGCACATTTGCACAAGAACGCCTGAGGGACAGCTGGGAGGGCGCCGGCCTGGCACGCAGCTCCCTCTGGGCCACTCCTTGGCTCTTCAGCTTTGGGGGCTCCCAGGTCCCTGCAGCAGTGCAGCGGGGGTCTGGCGTGTGGTACGGTTTGCTCATTTGATCGTTGATCCGACCAGAGTCTGGCCATGCAGGAAGGCCCCCATCACCCTGTCTGCAGTTCTTGGACCCACGCTGTCTGAGGCCAGGTCACCAGCCAGTCACTGGGTCCTGCCTACGCGTGTGGAGACAGAACGGCACACAGAGGGCCCCGAGGAGTCCAGGTGCACCGGCCCGGCCAGGCGCTCCACAGCCGATGCTTAGAGCTCTCCTTCCTTTTTCCTTTCTTTTTTCGAGATGCTTGTTATAGGGCACATGTGCTCGCTGGAGAGATAGCGAGAAAGAAAGCAAGAAATCATGCCCCGGGGGGTGATGGTGCCACAAACCCTTCTGCATTCTACTGTCGGAACTTTGGGCACTCACACGCACATGCCCGATGTATTTCAAGCTGCTGGGTCCAGGACTTGAACTGGGGTCGGCCATGTGGGAGTCCAGTGACATAACTGTTATACCACTTGCTGGTCCCAGGCCTCCTCCCCCTCTTCATCCTGTCACATTCTGTATTTTTTTAGGTTTTGGCCACAGGGTGCAAATGTGAGAGAGAGAAAGAGGAAGAGAAAGAGAGTGAGAGGAAAAGTGAGAAATACTCCCCAGGGGGATGGCCACGCCACAACCCCTTCCCCTTCATCCTCCTCCCAGGATGTTGGCCATGCACCCACCCCCACCAAATGCTCCTGACCATGCCCCTGCTCCCTCTGCTCAGGCGTGGGCCTGGGGTCAGCCGGCTCCAGAGCCCAGAATGCACACAGCTCCGAGAGCTGCCCAGTCGGGGGCTGCAGCCAGACAGGCCTGGTGCAAGAGCCCCTTCATCAGCCCCAGCACCGCTGACCTGGAAGGGAGGACTGACTGCAGGGTCTCGGGAAAACGGGGCCCACGCTGCACCCCGGACTGCATAAACAGGGACCTAATAATCGGTAAGTAACCCAGCAGACGGCTGTGTGCCGGCACCCACGGCCTGGGGAGCGCCGTGTGGCAGGAGGCCTGTGGCAGGCCCCAGGACGCCGCCTTTGCCGACTTCAGCTCTGACCGCAAGCTTCCTCACTCTCTTTTAGCAAACAAGACGTCGGCGCACTGATCGTTGATCCGACCAGAGTCTGGCCATGCAGGAAGGCCCCCATCACCCTGTCTGCAGTTCTTGGACCCACGCTGTCTGAGGCCAGGTCACCAGCCAGTCCCGGGGTCCTGCCTACGCGTGTGGAGACAGAACGGCACACAGAGGGCCCCGAGGAGTCCAGGTGCACCGGCCCGGCCAGGCGCTCCACAGCCGATGCTTAGAGCTCTCCTTCCTTTTTCCTTTCTTTTTTCGAGATGCTTGTTATAGGGCACATGTGCTCGCTGGAGAGATAGCGAGAAAGAAAGCAAGAAATCATGCCCCGGGGGGTGATGGTGCCACAAACCCTTCTGCATTCTACTGTCGGAACTTTGGGCACTCACACGCACATGCCCGATGTATTTCAAGCTGCTGGGTCCAGGACTTGAACTGGGGTCGGCCATGTGGGAGTCCAGTGACATAACTGTTATACCACTTGCTGGTCCCAGGCCTCCTCCCCCTCTTCATCCTGTCACATTCTGTATTTTTTTAGGTTTTGGCCACAGGGTGCAAATGTGAGAGAGAGAAAGAGGAAGAGAAAGAGAGTGAGAGGAAAAGTGAGAAATACTCCCCAGGGGGATGGCCACGCCACAACCCCTTCCCCTTCATCCTCCTCCCAGGATGTTGGCCATGCACCCACCCCCACCAAATGCTCCTGACCATGCCCCTGCTCCCTCTGCTCAGGCGTGGGCCTGGGGTCAGCCGGCTCCAGAGCCCAGAATGCACACAGCTCCGAGAGCTGCCCAGTCGGGGGCTGCAGCCAGACAGGCCTGGTGCAAGAGCCCCTTCATCAGCCCCAGCACCGCTGACCTGGAAGGGAGGACTGACTGCAGGGTCTCGGGAAAACGGGGCCCACGCTGCACCCCGGACTGCATAAACAGGGACCTAATAATCGGTAAGTAACCCAGCAGACGGCTGTGTGCCGGCACCCACGGCCTGGGGAGCGCCGTGTGGCAGGAGGCCTGTGGCAGGCCCCAGGACGCCGCCTTTGCCGACTTCAGCTCTGACCGCAAGCTTCCTCACTCTCTTTTAGCAAACAAGACGTAGGTGCAATGACACGCGCGCGAGTCTCGTCTTCCGTCTCCCCTGAACGCTGGGGGCTTTCCTGGAGAAGGGCCTGCTTCTGCCAGAGCTGCCTCCCCTGCCAGGCTGCAGAGGCTTCTGCTGAAGGCGCGTCCACCCGGCGTTGTCAGCTCAGGGCCCGCCGGGCTGGGCCCTCACCAGGGGAGACTGGGGCAGGGCCACCGGTCAAGGACAAGAGGGCAGGTCTGCCCTTCAGAGACAGAGGGGGCCGAGGGGACCTGGGGCCTGTTCTGGGCAACACTGCTCATTATCCCCTCGGGAGCGGGTGTGGGCAAACAGGCGGAGGGCAGCCCGGCCAGGATGCAGGGAAGCAGCAGGGGCTGCTGCAAAGGGGTGGTGCATGTGCGTGTGCGTGCACACGTGAGCCTGTGTGGTCCATGATGTGTCCTGTGCTTCCCTGCACAGTGGCTCCATCAGGGCTCCCATGCAGCCCCTCTGCTCCGTGCCATGCGGACAGCCAGGGAAGGGCCCAGAACAGGTTCGGCCTTGGACTGTCCGCCGGGCAAACTGGTGGGCGTCTGGCTGTGCCCAGGGTGAGGCCCCTCAGAAGAGAGGGTCGCTGCTGCTCCTGGGTGGGGCCCCCGAGCAGGGCTGTCCTCAGCTGACCCCTCCTCCCCACGTGTTCATCCTGTCCTCTGACTCGGGGCAAAAGGCACAGCTCAGTCCTGAGCCCGGGTCAACGTCAGATTCTAGAGCCCCGAAACCCTGTCCGTCCGGGTCTCCCAGGAGAGAGCAGTGGGGCAGTGGCCCGTACGGGGAGCCGCTTCTGCCCAGCACAGGTGCGCCCGCGCACCGAGAGATCCTCCAAGGCTCGCGGGGCCCGGGGTGAGCTCCTGGGCCTCCCGGTGTCCTGAGGGGTATCAGGGTGGCAGCCAGGATCCCTGGCTCAGGTCAGCTGGGGCAGCCCCAAGGCTCAGGCCGGCCAGTGACTGGGACAAGCTCCTGACCCGGGTACACAGCCCTCACAAGGCCGTGCGGGGTCTCCTGGTCCTGGCTAGGTCACCCTGGCCTCCCTCCTGCTGTAGGCATCCCGCTGGCCCTGGCCTGTGCGGACTCAAGCCCGAGGGTGAGGCCCACCCGGAGCTGCACTAGTGCGAGCCAGCACCCGAGCAGAGGGAGGCTGCGCCCCGGCCGCAGGCACTTGGCTGCACGTTGCCGACAGTGGGAAGCGACGCTTCCTGTGTGCGCCGGGCCACGGGAAGGCGTGAGCACACGAGCTGACAGCATCCAACTCAGGCTGGACTACGGGCACCCTCAGGGCTCCCATCCCACCCACCCTGCCCAGACCCCACCTGGGGCGTAGGAACCCAGTGTCAGCACTCCGAAGTACAGCTCCTGCCCTCTGCCCGCCTGTCCCCTTGTCCCTCTGCCTCTCTGTCCCCTCTGCCCCTGTCTCCTCTCTCCCCCATCCCCTCTGCCCCTCTGCCCCCCGTCTCCTCCCTCCCCGGTCCCCTCTGCCCCTCTGTCCCCCTCTCTCCTCTCTCCCCGTCCCCTCTGCCCCCTGCCCTGGGCTACCCAGCACAGCTCACTCACCCTCTGGGAACCTGACGTGGAGCTCTTGAGCGAGCCCCGCTTGAAGGAGCTGCTCATCTTCCACACGGAGCCCACGGGGCGGTGGTGGCCTGGGCTGGCCGGGCCTACAGCAGGGCCCTCTGGGTGGGCAGGGCTACCGGGGCACAGAGCTGGGACGACCCTGCGGCTGGGCCAGCCAGAGGAGCCTGTGTGGGTCCCGACAACCTCTCCCTCGGCTCTGCCTGTCCTGGTGCGGGTGAACATCTGTAATCAGGCCTAATCCCTCCCCTGCCCAGAGGTTTACAGGGACAGACTTAGCAAATGGGGACTGGGGGCAAATCTGCTTTGGGAAGTGCTGGCTGCAAAGGGCAGCCACACGGCCGGATTTGGGCGTCCAGACCCCGCTTGGCCCAGCTGCCACGTCTCCCTGAGGTCCACACGCCGGCGTGGCCTCCCAGCTGTCAACATGCTGCCCTGTTCATTCAGGCCCCACTGCAACCCCGTCACCTCGGCAGTGTGTCATGTCCACCCAGCACCCCGGCAGAGCGTCCCCCCAGCCCTGTTACCTCGGCAGTGTGCCCCCTCCACCCAGCACCCCGGCGGAGCGTCCCCCCAGCCCTGTTACCTCGGCAGTGCGCCCCCTCCACCCAGCACCCCGGCGGAGCGTCCCCCCCAGCCCTGTTACCTCGGCAGTGCGTCCCGTCCACCCAGCACCCTGGCGGGGCATCCCCTCCACCCCGTGTGGGTCCCGACAACCTCTCCCTCGGCTCTGCCTGTCCTGGTGCGGGTGAACATCTGTAATCAGGCCTAATCCCTCCCCTGCCCAGAGGTTTACAGGGACAGACTTAGCAAATGGGGACTGGGGGCAAATCTGCTTTGGGAAGTGCTGGCTGCAAAGGGCAGCCACACGGCCGGATTTGGGCGTCCAGACCCCGCTTGGCCCAGCTGCCACGTCTCCCTGAGGTCCACACGCCGGCGTGGCCTCCCAGCTGTCAACATGCTGCCCTGTTCATTCAGGCCCCACTGCAACCCCGTCACCTCGGCAGTGTGTCATGTCCACCCAGCACCCCGGCAGAGCGTCCCCCCAGCCCTGTTACCTCGGCAGTGTGCCCCCTCCACCCAGCACCCCGGCAGAGCGTCCCCCCAGCCCTGTTACCTCGGCAGTGTGCCCCCTCCACCCAGCACCCCGGCAGAGCGTCCCCCCAGCCCTGTTACCTCGGCAGTGTGCCCCCTCCACCCAGCACCCCGGCAGAGCGTCCCCCCAGCCCTGTTACCTCGGCAGTGTGCCCCCTCCACCCAGCACCCCGGCGGAGCGTCCCCCCCAGCCCTGTTACCTCGGCAGTGCGTCCCGTCCACCCAGCACCCTGGCGGTGCATCCCCTCCACCCCTCCCCTCTGCCCTGCACATCTGCATACAGAGCCGCCACCAGGCTGCCTGTCCGTCCTGCTCTGCTCTGCATGGGGGAGACTCATTTCATATTCAGGGTGCCCTATGCACTTGGGCAGGCAGGGCCAGGGTCTCTCCTGGGTCTCCCCGACCTGAGGGCTGCTGCCGCCCTCCCCTCCCCGTGCCGGCGGCCGTGGCTCTGGGGTGGCTGACCTTGCTCCTGTGGACTCGGAGGGTGGGCCCCAAGCTCCCCAGGCCCCGTCCCTCCTGGCATGGGCACATGCTGCCTCTTCCTCCCCGCAGTTGTCCCGCTTTACGGAAGGGTGTTCCCCGCTCAGCGCGCTCTGATGTGGTCCCCCTTGGGATGGCTTCCATTCGCCACGTGGAAACAGCGCTGTCTCAGGGTGTGGGTGGTGCTGGGTGTTCCCAGGGTGCCCGGAGCTGCAGTGCCAGCATGCCGGCTATACCCTGGGTCTCCCCACTCTGTGGGAGACCCTCCCTGGAGCTCTGGAGCAGAGTGGCCCATCCCTGGCTCTGCCGAGGCCTGTCCCGGGTGACTTGTGGTCCTGCTTCTCCTGCCCACCCCAACACCTGGCCGGTGGGTCCTGGCCGGCTGGGAGGCTGTGGGAGCACTGCAGCTGGCAGCCCCTCCAGGTACCCCCACCCCCGGAAAGAAAGAAACGGTGAGGCATAAAGGAGCCAGGGAGACCCTGTGCTGGGAGACACGGCTCAGAGCCGCGGGCTCTCGCACGCTGGCCCCTGCGTGCCCACACCTGCCCAGGCAGCCTCGACGTGAGTGAGAGGCCCTCCCCAGCACGCGTGGCGTTCCCTGTGAGTGGCAGACGGCTCCCAGCCCTGGGAGGACGTGGCTCGCAGCAGAGACTGGCTGCCTGGACTGACAGGTGTTCGCCAGGGCTTCTGCAAGCCGGCTGAGGGTCTGCTATTGCAAGGGGCAGGCCCCGAGGTCAGGAAAGGAGCCTCGGCTGTGCAAGCCCCACACTCACATCTGGGGGGCCCTGGGGCACCCCACCTTGGGCCTTGTACCCTGGGGTATCCCACCTTGGGCGTAGTACCCTGGGGCCGCTGGAGTCCCAGACTCCCGCACCACAGGACACCCTGGCTCCGGGGCTGGCCCAGCCGTCTCTGTGCCATATGGGACGCTGCACACCTCATGAGGCTGCGGTGACGCCGAGAACTCCACGGGGTGGGGGAGAGCTGGGCTGGCCAGCACCACCACGGAGCCAGCCCCGACTCCGCTCCGGCTCACCCCATTGCCGACAGCGGAGGCTGTCGGAGTCTGGGCTGGGGAGAACAGAAGTCTGTTCAGCCCAAGGTTTGGAGGGCCGAGGTCCAGGGTCGCCTCTGGGGTTCTCACAGAGTCCCGGGGCGGGAGTAGAGCAGCCGTGTCTGGTGTCCATGTCCCCTCCCTCTCCTTAAAGACCCTTGGGAGTGGATCGAGGGACCCCACCAGCTCAGAGAAAGGTGAGGAGATGAGCACGGCCGCATCACAGCAGGACAAGGCGACAGGCACACCAGGCCAGCGAGCGCAGGCGGGCAGGGGGAGGCCGTGTAGGGGGCCTGCGGGCCCTCAGCCCCCAGCCCAGGCCGCAGCTCCGCACCGCACGCTGGGCTGCTGCATCCGTGCTCCTGCCGCTCCAGAGGGACGCCCGCACCAGGCCGGCCCCGCTACGTGGCCCAGGACCACGCCTGATGGCGGCCGGGCCGGCGCCCGCTGACCGCCAAGCTCACGTGCGCGTTAAGAATGCGAGCAGCAATGCTGGGGACAATTACCTCCCCAGTTTCCCCAAATTGGAAGATTTGTGAAAGAAAAAGAAGAAACACTTTGACTCAGAAAGGTCCAGGTTGGCTGCCCTGCCTCACGGGTCAGGGGTGAGCATGTTACACGGCACAGGTGGTGGCAGGTCCTTGGAGTGTGACTCGTGACCTCAGCCTCAGGCAGACCGCTGCTCGGCCAGGCCACGCAGGGACAGGCCTTTGCTAACGTCGGTCACCTCAGAATGACACTTTGTACACCTGAGGGAGGGTGCTGCCACGCCCGAGCGTGCTGGGGCGGCCAAGGGCTGGGTGGTCCCCGTCCGGGTCCTGGTCCAGGGCAGAGCTGCCCTGCAGAGGCCCAACGGCTGACTACGCTGGCCTGGGCCTCCACGCTGCCACCCTGTGGCCACACACAGCAATGGCAGGAACATGTCCTTCCCACCAAGGAATGCCCAGGTCCAGGGACTTGCTGAGCCCGGGAGACAGGAGACTTCCTAGCTTCAGGGGAGGAGACTGCCGGAGCCACCGATCCCCACTGTGGGGCGTGGTACTGGCTAAAGCTCCCACCCGGAAGCTAGGCCATCCTGTGTGCAGGGCAGTGATGCC